AAAGCATAGGGAGGGCTCAGAAGGGGTCCTGGTCACCTCTGCTTGGGGATAGTGTAGAGTGGGGGGAATTAGGGAAGGTATGGAGGAAGAGAAGGCACTTGAAGAAAAATAAGTTAAAAAGTCAAGAATTAGCACCGATCTATGGTTCTAGAACTCAGAATAGTGGTTGCCTCTGATGGGAGGAAGTGGCTGGAAAGGGGCATGAGGGCTCTTTCTGGGGTGATGGAAGTGTTCTGTAGCTTGATTGGGTGTTGATCACATGGGTGTATACATTTGTTAAAACTTGTTGAGCTGTACACTTAAGCTTTGTGCATTTTTACATGGAAATTATATCTCAATAAAACTAGTTTATTGAAAAATATTGTTAAAAATGAGGAGCACAGGGAGGGTAGGGATCTCCCACGTCAAGAGGACCTTGGGCTCAGGGGTTTGTAGGTGTAAGGCAGCAAGGCACCTGTGGTGACCTGCCAACTGCTGAGTTTGGCTGGATTTTAGGGTTCAAGGTGAAAGAACATGAGATCAGGTGGTTAGAGCCTCATATACCATACAGAGGAGTCTGGACATCATCCTTTAAGTTGTGGGTACCACTGAAGGGTTTAAGCTCATCTCCAAGTGGCTGAGACTGCCCTACCTTGGATGTAGGTGACCATTGGCCAGGTTAGGTAAAGAGCAACAGGCCTCCCACACTCCTGTTCCCTCAGAAGTCTGCCCAGAGTTTTCCTTAAGAGGGAGGGATCGGAAGAGGAGGAGAAACCAGAGAAGAATAATACAGCTGCCAAAGTGAGCTGCAGCCAGTGCCCTAGAAAATAATCAAGGAGAAGCAGTCAACTTCCTGTATCTAGGCTGAACTTTGTCAACTTTCCCTACCCAGGAGGGGAGGGAGCCCAGAGTTTTTGTTGTGACCCTGAAGTGAAATGTCCCCGAGGGACTGTCTATTTCATGTCTGCTAGAGATGATCTCTGCCTCCTCATCCAGCTGCCTCAGAGTAAGTTTTGCCCCTGCTCTTAAACCAGAAGTAGAAATCCCTGGGTGATGCAAACAGTTAACGTGCTTGGTTGCTAACTGAAAGGTTGGCAATTTGAGTCCACCCAGAGGCACCTCGGGAGAAAGGCCTGGTGATTCACTTCTCAAAAAATCAGTCACTGAAAGCCCTATGGAGCCCATTTCTCCTCTGAAACACACATGGCCACCATGAGTCAGAATTGACTCGATGCCAACTGGTAACTGGTCTACTGGAATGGCATCCAATTGTGCATCCCATAAGTCTAAACATCTCTGCCAGTATTTGAGGAATTCCTAATCTTCCTGCCCTAAATGAACATCTTTGCACCCAACCGTAACAGATTTTCCCACTGGTTTCTCCCACATGCCGCATGTTCCCTCCTACATGTCCATCTAAATTTTACTGTCTTCCATGGCTGATAAACCCCCTTTCACTTGTTTTTTAACGATGCCAAGCCTCTCTGATCTCCCCCTTCCCTGGACATCTGTTGCAGCTCGAGGCAGTAATTTCCTCCCACATCTTCCCTCCCCTCTGTGTTAAATCTATTTCCTCAGATAGATTATAGGGTCCTTGAAGGCAAAGAAGAGTCTTAAAAGCTGTGGTTTCCCCCACCGACTTGAGAACGTAGTAAATATTTAGTGGTGGATTGATGATTGGCTTTGGAGGATTCAGACCAGTGTAGGGGTCATCTGTGCCAAATCAGAAATCTAGAAAGCGTTCATTTTCCCTAGCCATTTCCGGTAGACAAAGATCCTGGCTAGACTTCAGTCTTGGTGGAAGGGGCGGTGCTGGGCGTAAAAGGGGCTGGAGGAGATGGAAGGCCAGGACATTGTGTGATGTTCAATCCCGACCCCAGCTTTGCCTGGATTAGCGACCTCAGATTTCCCAGGCCATAGAGCTGTGTCCCTCCCTCCTGCATTACAGAGAGCGCAGCTGCGATGGGAGCACTGGACAAAAAACGAGGTTAGAGCCAGGTATTGTCAAAGTTACTGCAATTTGCAGGCAAGCTAACTTGCTGGATTTTCAGCAACTGTCTACTCATCCTGCATTACTGAAATTACAGATGCCAACCAACCTACTGGAAAGAGAATTTGGGATACATTGTGAACTTCAAAAAGTTTCTGCCTGGAAACTGAAGGGGTAACCATGGCAACCGGAAGGCAAGTTGAACTCAGAGAGGGCTCTTCATCTGAGCAGGGAGCTTTGTGCTCTCAGATTTGCTTGTCTGTGCACCCATTTAGTCAATCCTTTGTCGCTTTTGCTTTCTTTGTTGGATGGGAGAAGTACTAGCTCCGGAATCTGAGGATCTGGCCCAGGTCTCAGCTGTTTTATTGCTCTTAACTAGGAGCACCTTAGACACTGCTGTTTTGTTGTCTGCAAATGGAAATGAAAAACTTGCCTGACCTAGTCACAGGGATGCGGAAAGGATGGGAAGGTTCAGGAAGCCTTAGCAGGTTCCCCTCATAATCAGGATTGTTCTGGTGTGGTCTTGTCTGGGTTGGTTGGAACATGGTGCTACTGAGGACATGAGTGTGGGTGTGATTCTTCCATAAACTCGTTTTTGCTGCATGAAGAAAAGCTGTCCTACATACAACACCCCACCGCTACCTGGTACACGTATTCTAAAAACGTGCCTTGGGGCGTGGGCAGCACCAGGTGAAACAACAACCCCTCACCTCAGCTGACAACACCACCAGCAGGACGTCCTGCTGATGGGGGTGGGGAGGTTGGCTCCACAGGGTGGTCAAAGGATGGGAGACTGTGCTGAAACCACTGCCTGGTTACACACCATCGCCCTACTCCCATCCCATGCCCATCTCCCTGCCCCACACCAATCCAGCCTTGGACTTGTGAGAAAGGAAGAACAAGAGCCAGGGTTGGCAGGATGGGGCAAAGGAGGGATGCTGGTGTCTGAGATGGTACTGCCGATATGAGGAGCTGCTGCTGGGCCTGCCTCTGGGCTCCACTAATCTACGGGAGGTTTGGGGAGGATTATAGCTCTGGATTTTTAGAGTGCATGATGCTTTTGCCTAACTGGGTCAGCTTCTGCAAACCCTGGCTTAACAAGGGAATCTGCTTTGACAAAGGAAGCCCTTTCCTTCCCTTACTTGCTTTTCTCAGTCAGCTTTCTCAATGAGCTTTAGCAGGTGGGGGGACCTCTTCTTCCCTTTTCTCTACCATTTGCTAACCCTTTACATCCAGGTGAATAGAGCAGGCCTGCTGAGGAATGGTAATTTGTACTGCTCCTTATGAAATAAACACCTACATTCCAAGAGGCACAAAACCCCACTACTATTCCTTATTGTCTTGCCATCCCTGCATCCCTATTAAGTAAAAATGGAAGCTAACATTTATTAAGTGCTAATTACAGGTTGAGCTCTCTTCTAAGCACTTTACATGTTGTGGATGCTGTGGGATGCCACCCAGATGCCCCCTTCAGGACTGAGACCGCAGTCCCCAGCCATCAGGTATGTTGTTTGCTGTAGGCTCACGGTGGAATCCCTCTTCAAAGGTTGCCTTTGGCCGAAGAGAGATTATGGTTAGGCCATCTTCTGCGGCAGCTGCATGCAATGGCTGGGCAATGTGGGAGTACATGGCCCAACCCCTTGTCTCAATGGGGGACACCTCCAAAGGGCTCTCCCAGCTCCAGAGGATCCCCTGGGTCCAGCTTCGGTCTCTGTTGCAGTGGCATGGAGTTTAACTTGGCTTCCCTCATTCTCTCCCAAGTGTTCCAGAGAACTCTCCTCAGTCAGCCTCCTGTGTGCGAATCTCTGCCTCAGAGTCTGTTTCCCAGGGAATTCAAAACTGAGACACAAGTATTAACTCGTTTAACCTTCACAACAACTTTACGGAATAGGTGTATTATGGTTCCTGTCTCAGGGATGAGGGAACCGAGGCAGGCAAAAGTTAAGAAAGTTGCTTACAGTCTCCCATCAGTCAATGGTGGAGCCATGATTTGAAACCCTAAGATCTAGCTTTAGATCGCATACTTTTAATTGTTCATGCAGCCTCTTAATAACAGTCCCATTTAGGATTGTGGGGCCATGGGGAGGCTGCAAAATCTTTATGGGAAAGGTGAGGTGAGGAGAGAGGCAGGGCGTTTATCACCTTTATGTCAGAGATGGGGACACTGAGCTAGCAACTGCTTGAGCCCAGGATCATTTACCAGTTACAGAGGCATGAGATTCTTTTTTTTTTTTGGCGGTGGAAAAAATATGGTAAATTTCGATTTTAATTCTGGCGCCAACACTTACTAACTGTGTAACTTTGAGGAAGTTATTTAACCTCTATGAGTCTTGGTAAAAGTGTTTGGCACTTAGTAGGTGTTCAATAAAGCCTCCCTCCCCCGCCCCCAAACGCTGATTATTTCCAGTTCTGTGAACTTGGGCAAGTCTCTATAGTCCTCAGTTTCATCAGTAAAATGGAGATGATGATGATGATAAAGGGCTTCCGCGGGCAGAGGGGCCCAGTAAACGCTAGTTAGCAGTACAATCATGATGCTATCTTGGCCCTGTTAGACGCTGTGCCCCTGACCTTCAGGACTATACAGACTCAGACTTTTCCTGTGACTGACACCGCCAGTGTCTCCCCGACCCGCCACGCCCACGCAAACCCTCCTGACACTGCTGAGTTTGTTTCCTGCTTTTTGCTAGGTCGGCGGGTTTATGTGTGTGTGTGAGTGTTTTCTTCAAAACTGTGCGTGCGCCTCTCATCTCTACGTGGTCTGCCGCCTCTCCCTCCTCCACTCGGAGGAGGGACAGCCCGGGTTTTGCCCAGCCTGAGGCTCCACGGTGTGAGTGCGCGCCGGCTGGGGCGGTCCACCCCTGCGGCTCCTCGCCTTCGCAGGGCCCAGCCCCGCGTTCCCATTGGTCAGAGGCGCGCGGCCCCGCCCCCGCCTCCTCCAAGTGCATAAAAGCCGCGGTAGCGGCAACTCGGCGCGGCCAGCTGGTTAAACCCAAACGCGCACCGAATAGCCTCAGCCTCCGCTCCTCGCCGCCTACCTCTCGCAGTGCCCGCCACCATTCTCCCCACGACGTGCTGTCCTGCGCCCGCAGCCATGTGCCGGACCCTGTCCGCCTTCCCCACCACCTGCCTGGAGAGGTAAGAGGAGTTTGCTATGTGCCAGGAGGAAGAAGTCCAAGTCCCTCCAACTCTGAGGGAGTGAAGTGGCCGCCTTGGGGATTTAGGTGGGAGACTCGAGTGGGGAGGCAGAGGAAGAGGTTAACTTGAAGCTGCCTACTCAGATGCTTCCCTTCGAGACTGGGAGAAGCGACGGGCCACGAGAAGGAGGGAAGCCGGGGCCCCTGTTTACTGCCACTCCCCATCCTCTGACAAACAGCAGTCCTCCTCAGGTGACTTGCTGAAGACCTCACTGCAGGCAGGCCACGTTGACACAACTGAGTTTGCCTAGTTTCTTAAGCTTTTGGTTTTCACTCCATGGCCCAGAGCTAGGGCATGGCCTCCTCTGCCCCTGGAAAGACTGGGAGATGCTTATCACGCCCCACGAGGGAAATGTGCCCACTTCCCAGGGAGCTACTCAGCAGTCTCCAGTCGTTGCTGGGGCTTCTGCCTGGGAAGGAAAGGGCAAAGATGAAGGCAGGAATGTTTTTCCACAGTTCCAGAAATACTGACAAGCCCAGAGGGGCTGAGCTGCCTTCTGCTAATCAACAGGCACAAAGATCAGTGTGACTTAAGTAGGGAAAAACTTTTATCTGCAATGCTATAAACCCAGATGAGAAAGTATAAGACCTATCTGGATGCTGCGCAAAGGTTGGTGGGTTGATGATGCTAATAGAGAGAGAGCAAAGTTTGAGCCTGGGCACAGCCAAGGGTCCCTGGAATCCCTGAGACTGGAGTTGGGGTGGCACCAGCTTGAGCTCTCCTGGGATCCCATAAACTTTTCCGCACTGGCTGAGTGAATAGAGAATCCTTACAGGTGCCTGCTTTGTCTTCCAGAGCCAAAGAGTTCAAGACACGTCTGGGCATCTTTCTTCACAAATCAGAGTTGGGCTCCGATACTGGGAGTGCTGGCAAGCTTGAGTGGGGCAGTAAACACAGCAAAGACAGGTAAGTCCTGCTGACCAGCAAAAGACCCCTGGTGGGGAGGGAGCCAGATTTAGGAAAGGAGCCACGAGAAGCAGTAATATGAGGAGCAGAAACTAGGGCGTGCTGGGGTGAACCGTGGTAACCCGTCCCTGAGGTTTTTTTAGCAGGGCTATGTCTGCTTGGCTCACGGGTGATTGGGTGGGTGGTTCCAGGGTTTAAGTCCACCAGCAGATGACTGCTTGGAGGGCCTGAATGTCTATTACTGGACTCTCCCATCTGGAGATGTGCATTGCATGTGCAACGAGGGCTAGGTCAGGACCCAAAACCACTGGAGGTTTTCATGAACATGTCTACTGCTATCAGCACACACCTTGCCTAAAAGTCCTTTCATATAGAACATCAGTGCCTGTGCAGGTGCTGCATTAGGCTCTGGGGTTCTGGGTAGACATAATCTCTATGCACGAGACCTTTATTTCCTTGGAGAGGTGTACAAAACAAAGTTCTGAGTGTGGGGGAATAGAAACAATTTTGGACAGAAAGGAGATAGCCTTAAAGACATTAGCTGAGGGCCAAAGGTCCCAGACTTCAGTTTCTGGCTACTGAATTGTCCTATAGAAAATGACACTGCCCCTTGCCGTCAACCTCAACCAGGAGTTTGAAGAGTCAGCTTCATTAATCACCCAGCAAGTCATGTGTGGATTATGCTACTTCCCCTCAGAGTTCTGGCTAGGATTTATGCTAGGCATCGGTTTGTTGTTTTATTTTAAAATCTTGACTATTTTTCTTTTTAGCAAAAACTTCTCAGAAGATGTACTGGCGTGGAGGGAGTCATTCGACTTGCTGCTGAACAGTAAAAGTGAGTAGGACCCTGTGGTGTCTGACTATGGGTGGCACGTGTGTACTCATGTGCTTTGGAGCCAGCCGGAGGGATGCTGAAAGTGTGGGCAAAGCAGTAGTTGTAATGATAATAATGATGATCCCCTAGTGAGCGAGCCTCTATTCAGAATACAAAGGCAGGTCCTTGTTCTAGAAAATGACATCCTAAAAATAGAGCTGTTAACTGCAGTTGCTGTCTTTTCTTCTTTTATTCCCGTCTGTCCCCTGGTCTGACCTGCCTCCTCCTCTGTCCCCCCAACCACAGATGGAGTGGCTGCCTTCCATGCTTTCCTCAAGACGGAGTTCAGCGAGGAGAACCTGGAGTTCTGGCTGGCCTGTGAGGAGTTCAAGAAGATCCGCTCGGCTACCAAGCTGGCCTCCAGGGCTCACAGGATCTTTGAGGAATTCATTCACAGTGAAGCCCCTAAAGAGGTTAGAGCCCTGACATGTTCTGTGGATCCTCCAGACCCTGCTCCTTCCAAAACCAGGGATCTTAGGGGGCCAGGAGATGAAGGATTGGATTTAGAATTAGAGTGGCCTTATTGGGCACAGGGATGAGTGGGCTTCTAGAGTTGGCGACTAGGAAAGCTAAGCTCCTTCCTACCCCTGGGTGGTGGTACCCTCAGATTCGGATCGGGTGAGATGGTCTGGCAGGTTTTTGGGCTTTTGTCCATACCCACTTTTGTAAGCCCAGCCCTTTTCAGACTCAACAAACACAACTGCAGAGACAAGGTTATCACAGGGATCTTATGTAACCTGGTGCAGCCCCCTGGCGGACCTGCCTCAGGTCCAGAGGTCTGTGGTCAATCAACTTTTGCTGATCAGTCTTCCCTTCAGCCCTTCTCGCCAGGGCAGGAGGCATGTTTGTTAAAGAACATGGGGCCACCTTGTGGAGAGATGATAGTAACGCTCTGCTTTTGTATCATGTTTTTATTTTCTGAGCACTCTTATTTATTCTGGGAGTCCCTGGATGGTGCAAATGTTTAATGCACTAACTGAAAGGTTAGTGGTTCGAGTCCACCCACAAGCACCGTGAAAGAAAGGCCTGGCAATCTACTTCCAAAAAATCAGTCATTGAAAACCCTATGGAGCACAGTTCTACTCCGACACACATGGGGTTGCCGTAAGTTTGAATCGACTTGATGGCAACTGGTATTAGTGTATTTATTCTACACTACTCCACAAATATTTACAGAGCACCAGTTACACGCAAGGTGCTGTTACAGGCACTGGTGATATAGCAGTGAACAAAATGAAGTCCCTACCCTCATGCGACTTATATTTTAATGGTAGAAGATGACAATCACCGATGAAACGAGTAAAATATATGTACTCTGATAAACGTAAAGCAGGACATGAGGGATGGGAAGTGCCATAGACAGATGGGGTGGGGAAAGGTGAGATCTTTCATTGTATACAAGGAGGTCAGGGGTGGGCTGTCTAATAAAGTGACATTTGAGCGGAGACATGACAGAATTAAGGGAAGGGAGAACATTCTAACAGCAAGGAAACAGCAAGTGCAAAGGCCAGAGTGCCTGTCATATTCACAGAGCAGCAAGTGGGCCTGTGTGGAGCTGACTCTGAGGCAGAGAGAGGAGATGAGGTCAGACAGGCAGCCAGGTAGCCATGTGGTCCACCAAGGACTTTGGCTTTTCTTCTGAGTGACGTGGAAAGACAACAGAGTGCATGGTCTTGGCAAAGGTGCCACAGACTGATTCAGGTTTTAAAAGGACCACTCTGACTGCTGGGTGGAGAACAGACCATGGCGGCAAGAGTAGATGAGAGAGACCAGTTAGGACTCTCCAGCACTAATCCAGAGAAGAGATGATGGTGACTCAGACCAGGGTCATTACAAAGGAAAGGGCTCATATACACATTCTTAATGCTGCTGTTAGTTGCTGCTGCGTCAGTTCCCATTCTTGGCAACCTCATACGTGCAGAGTAGAACTGTACTCCATGGGTTTTCGAGGCTGTGACCTTTCAGAAACAGATCACCAGGACTGCCTTCTGAGGCACCTCTGTGTGGTTTTGAACCACCAAACTTTTGGCTAGTAGTCAAGAGCTTAACTGTTTGCAGCAACCAGGGACTCTGTACATTCTTTTTTTTTTTTTTTATGTAACTTTATTTTGTTGTTGTTGGCTCTGTACATTCTTAACATGTCTTCGTAATCATTCTAAGATTGGAGGGCAGACACTGAATCATAGATGTGGGGATAGGCACAGAGTTAAAAAGCCAGTTTATGACAGACTCGGGAGACCCCAGGCTCTTTCTCCTGCCCCCCCGCCCCCCCATTCACCTGTGTGCTTGCCCTCCTTCCCACAGGTGAACATAGACCACGAGACCAGGGAGCTCACGAGAACAAACCTACAGGCCACCACTGCCACGTGCTTTGACGTGGCTCAGGGGAAGACGCGCACCCTGATGGAGAAGGACTCTTACCCACGCTTTCTGAAGTCCCCCGCTTACCAGGACCTGGTTGCCCAAGCCACGGCCGCCTCAGCCTCCGCGTCCAGCTGCAGCCTGGCTGAGCCCTTATGCACCTGAGCCTCCTCAGCAGTGAGGGAGCCAGCCGGGAGGAGAGGTGGAGTCTCCCGTCCCCAAGGCTGCAGACCCCGGGTGGGAGGCAGGTTCTGCAAAGCAAGTGCCAGAGGACAGTGAAGCACAAAGGCACACCAGCAGCCTGTTTTGGAAGCCACACCCTCTTCTCCGGATACCGTGGGACTAAATTCATGCGTGAGAGGGTACCCCACTTCCAGGACCTGTGGCTAAGGACTGAAGAGGAGGTTGTGTGGGGCTCCAGGGGAAAGAAGGGTGGTGCAAGAGTTATCACTGGTTCTTGTTGTTCTCACCGGGGCAAGGCGATGTTCCAAGGTGGTTTGGGTAAAAGGAAACTTGCAAATGAGAGGGGGAAAGGCCCCCAGGTCAGCTGGTTTGCCTCTTGGTCAGTTGACTCTGATGGCATCCTGTTTACCTAGTTCTGTTCTGCCCTCCTCACCTGCGTCTGGGCCACCCGGGATCCCTTAGCTTGCACTTCTTGTGTGTCCAGCCTCTCAGTACTGTCAAGGCCGGAAGCCACGTGTGACTCTTGCCCAAGATGAGCTTTTTATACCTCAACAGTTGACCTTTGAGCCCCTTTCCAAGGCAGTAGAGAACCTTGAAAAGGGGCCACCTTGCTCATGTGAAATTAATCTTGGTGCTCTCGGTGACTCTTCCAGGTGGACTCTGACTGCATTCGCAGCAGAGCCCACCTGTGAGGAGGCTGCCCATGGGCCTCTTGCTGGGAGGTGTCAGCTCTTAGGTCTGTGCCTTGAAGGTGGGGCCCATGAGGAGGAGAACAGCGTGAGGCCTCCAGGTGAGTGTCCAGTCCAGCTCCCGTGCCCAGCAGGCTATGATGGGCCTCAGTTTCTGAACACCTTCCTGGGTTTTGGAAACTGGTGCTGGGGGAGCCGAGGACCCAGTGGCCAATCTTGGGACCCTAAGGGCATCTTCCTACCCTTGACCCATAGCTCTCCCTGCATCTTTCTCTGGAGGGAGCAGTGTGGGAGAGGAGAGGAGCAGAAGAAACAGATTTCCTGTTGCAATTCTGGGAAGGCCTGTTTAAATTAAGCCACTGTTTTCTGTGGGGATGAGAACAGGATGGAGGGCAGCCTGTGTTACCTTCTTCTGCATGTGCGATGCCATTACTGGGGGATGTTGGGAGAGATGGGGCAGGCACACCGCGATGCCCTTGGACAGAACTTAGAAGCAGGTGTGCAGTCTGGGGAGAGGCTGCTGGGGAAGGCAGGATTGGGGGTGGGGTGGGGAGGGGCCAGCACCTGCTTGTCACCTCAGGTCATCACTGAACAAACATCTCTGGTAGGGCTTCCTACACAAGAACCCAGGCTGGGGAGGAGCACAAACCCTTCAGCCCCAGGATAGTAATACTGTTCTCTGCACTGTGAGCTCCTCCAGGAGGAAATATTTAAGTATAATGTGTTGTCGTTTTTGTGACTATTGTCATAACGTATTGTAACTTATCATTGTTGGTGTTGTAGCTGTTGTTATTTACTATTGTGAGTTCACTTTACCTGTACTGGAGAATCTCAACAGGAGTTGGCAGCCTGACTGTCTCCCTCTCTCCACCGGACTCTACCTCTGAACGTGCTGGGAACCCCTCAGAGCCTGTCAAGAACTCTTCCCTGTTTAAATATTTATTTATTGTGGACAAATGGAGCTGGTTTCCTGGATATGAGTGATGTACTCAAGCCCCATTTTCCTGTTTCAGCATGTTATTTTCTTGTACAATAAAAAAACAGAACTCAAAATGACGAGACCCTGTTTCTAAGGGCTGTGTCAGGGGAAAAGGGAGAGGGAAGTGCTGTGGAGAGTCCGAGCCAACTGACCTGGCCTCTGGAAATTCCACAGGGCTGCTGGGTGCTGCGTCAGCTCGGGCTTCATGAGTACAGGCACAAGGGAAAGACCAGTGTTTACCTGGAAGCTGGCAGAACGGAAGAGAAGGGGATGGGTTGTAAAGGTGGCTGCAGTGATCGGTGACTTCCTTTAGCTGATGACAGCACCTACACCAGGATGGAACTGGACTCAGCCTGCTGTCATTTCCGAGCCCAAATTCTCTGTCCACCTGACCTGGGCTCAGGACAAACCCAACCCAAACCCGTTGCTGTGCAGTTGGTTCTGTCTCAGCAACCTTATAGGACAGAGTAGAACTGCCCCATAGGATTTCCAAGGCTGTGATCTTTATGGAAGGAGACTGCCGCATCTTTCTCCTGAGGAGTGGCTGATGGGTTCAAACCGCCAACCTTTCATTTAGCAGCCAAGGAGGTAAACACTGTACCCCTAGGGCTCCTTGGACTCCGAGCAAGCCACCCCCAATTTTACATGAAGGTCAGTTTCCCTTAACCAAGTAGCCATACATTGTCAGTTAGGTGGTAATCTTTGTGGCATTTTCATGTCTGCCCATTTTCAATTTGAATTCATTTCTTCTATAATTCATATAAATTCAAAATAATTAGTATTCTTTTATGGTTTCATAGAAGTCTCTGAGATGAGCTTCACAAAGCTGCTCTGTATGTGAAGCTGCTCCATTCCATGGACTAGGGAATAAGGGAGGTGAGCTGGTCTGAAGGAATTTGGGGGAAGGTGCCAGAATCAAAGCCCGCTCTTCTGTCAGATCACCTACTTGTTCTCCTTTCTTTCTTATCCTATCAATTTCGCTCATTTTCTTTTTCTGATTACCTCTAATTTAGAAAATTCTCTGTTCTCTAGTTTGAAGCATCTGCTTATACACAGATCTGGATCTTATATTGACTTTTATTTCTCCCCTGTTGTTCATCTGGGTAAAGTAGCCTTCAGGTGCAGTAAGTAGAAGATTCCATATCTAAGGGGTGAGTCTGTGGCAGTTGCCAGAAGGGATCCAAGATTTAAGGACCTGGGAAGGAGAATGGGCATGAACACTGTGACAGACCCTGGTCTCCATTAGCCTTACAAAGGCTCTGCAAGGTAGTTACAATTACCCTATAATACATATGGATGAAGAACTCAAGTTGCGAGAGGCAGGGGCACGCCCAGGGCAGCCAGTGCAGACCTAAGCAGCAGAGTGGGGCTCTGGCCCCAGCTATACCATGGCAAGGAGGCCAGTCTGCAAAAGATGGGTCAAGGGATAGACGGATGAGGGGAGCTGGAGGGAGGGTACCTAGGCAGCATGGAGGTATTGACCAGGGACATCTGTGCATTCTCCCTTTCTCACTACTTCCTCCCATCTTTTTGCCTTTTGACATGCATTTATTGGGTACTGTGCCTTGGCAGGAAAATAAAAGCAGCAACCATACCATCTACTGCAAGTAGCCTCATTTAATGAGCAGGGAGGATTCTGATTATGTTTAAGCAAGGGAAGGAATATTTTCTTAAGCCATATGGGTGCCAGTAGGAAAAGGTAGGTGGAAGTGTAAGTGGAGTCCCTGGGTGGTATAAATGGTTAATGCACTCAGCTGCTAACCAAAGGTTGGAGGTTTGAGTCCAACCAGAGGCAGCTTGAAAGAAAGGCCTGGCAATCTACATCTGAAAAATCAGCCATTGAAAACTAGGGCTTGGAACCAGTTCAAATCTCTGCTGAGAATCTGCATTTCTAACAAGTTCCCAGGAGATGCTAATGCTGCTGGTTAGGAACCAATTCTGAGAATCACTAGTAGAGTAGTGGTTCTCAAAATTTATTATACATAAGAATCACCTGGGGATCTTGTTAAAATGAAGATTCAGTATATCTAGGGCAGAAATGCAAATTCTCAGCAGAGGTTCGAACTGGAATGAACCAATTCAAAGCTATGTTGAAAACCCCATGGAGCACAGTTTTACTTTGACACACATGGGGTTGCCGTGAGTTGATGTAGACTAGATGGTAACTAGTTAACCCTTAAGTGAGAAAAGAATGGGGCTGATGGACCTCCTATGACAGGCTGATGCCTGCAGGGAGACCATTCTCAAGGCTTGTTCCCAGCTAACCATTCAACTAGCCTTCCCTTTCACATACAGAGTGGTCTTGGAATCAGTGGTGTGGCCTGAAGGAGGTCGGTATATGCTAGAGATAAAGACCAACTCTTCTCTGAACCATACCTTTCCCAGGTGTTAGGCTCAAAATAATTCCATACTATATTGGTTCTGAGAGAGGTTAAATGATTTACTGAAGATCACACAGCTATCAAGGGTCTCCAATACCTTCAGTCACACTGGCTCTGTCCCCTCCCCCTGAGCACTTCAGGCTTTGACTTAACAGGAAAAGCACTTCTTGAGCTGGCTCCCAATGGCCTGTCTAGTACATCCTCTCCTGCCCCTCAAAACAAGCCTTCAAACAGAAGAAGAAGGAGAATCAGGAATAATGAGAAGAAATGGAATGCTTGCCTAATTGCCTCCATGAACAACTGCCTCTTTAGCCATGAGACCAGAACTGGATGGTGCCTGGCTACCATTACTGAATGTTTTGATCAAAGATTTTACAGAAGAATCTTGATCAAAAGGGGGAAAATGCAGAACTGAATTTCAAATTCTCATGGAATCCAGACTTTCTGGAGCCATTGAGGCTGGATGAACCATTGAAACTTTTGCCTTGAGATAAGCTTTAAACCTTAAACTAAAAATATCCCTTAAACTCTTCTTTATACCATAGTTTAGCTTAATTAGTAAAGAAATGTGTGCCTTGAGCGCTTTGCTCTTTTAAAGAACTACCTATATGGGATCAAACTGACAACAGCAGCTAGAAGAGTTAGATAGGAAGCTTAGGGGGTAGAGAGTTTATGTTAATGGGGGAGGAACAATGTGGAAAAGGAGGGTGAGATGAGTTGCACAACTTGAAGAATGTAATTAATTAACTGAATTGTACATATAGAAATTGTTGAATTGGTGTATGTTCTGCTGTATATATTCTCAACAACAATAACAAAAATAAAATAAATTACAAAGAAAATAAGCCTTCGGCAGTTTCCCAACTCCCCCTACTGTTTCAAGCTTCCCCATCTTTGTATACTGGCCTTCTTCCCTGCTGTGTTCCCAACTCTCATCAGTGCCACCCACTGCCTCCTTAACTGGGCTAGGGACGCATGCATCTTCCAAAATCTGCCCAAGGGTCTTTCTGGGAACCTTCCCTGATCCTCTGGCTCTGATACGG